TCTTCTGTCTGGAGACAAAATGAAACATGCCCGATAACAGCATGTGCCCCCTACTGTTCAGTTCAATGATTCCTCACTGAGAACTATAGTATAGACCAGTACACAATTTAACGTGCACACAAAATCCAGTTTCTGTTACCCTCTCTTCACCGGAGGGTTTGCATTCATATTCCTTTGAATTCAGAAGGAAGAGTTCTGGACTACGTGTGAAGACTTCCTCATCTTTTCATATTCTTTCTCATATTCATCCTTAAAGATGCAGAAGCTTTCCAGTTGTTGAAGATTTTCTTCAGATGAACATTTTGTCTTGTTAAATGTTAAAGTTCTGATGTTTGAAGAATGAAAGTGTACCTCAGATCTTTTCTTATTGGGCATGTTTACTTTTGCTACTCTGAATATGAAATGAGAATTGGGATCATGTCAAACTATAGATCACCTAAATTGCCTTAAGAATCGTTAAAATATGAAAACTTGTAAATGATGATGATCAAATGATGTCATTCATATTGATTCTTATTTGTATAGGACAATTGCAATTGTTGAGAATATTGCACTAGAATATCACAAAGCACAAAAAGACTGTACAAGTTTTCTGAGGGAAATTAAATATTAAAAGCATTAGTAGTGGGATTGATACATATTTTATCCCACACTTCTCAAGTCAATGGCCACATTACATCTTGGTTAAACAGAAAATATTTCAGCACCAGTTGGATTTGCAAAGACAATATGAACAATGAGAGTCATTGTAAAGAGGCACACATGACTTGAGGCTGGGTATCTAATAAATCCAAAGTTCTTCTTTTCCTGCTTATTATTTCTGTAAACCAGGTTCTAGGAATATGTTGAAGACCCTTGCACAGACTCTTAACTATTTCTGGTGCAATGTACTTAACATTTTGTGACCAGCTGCATGCTGAAAGTTTAGTATTTGGATCCAAAATTACAGTGATCAGGCCTGGAAGAGATTTTCAGAGTCTCAACCATTGTTTTGTTTTGGTCATTGATCTCAGGGCACTGAAACAGGGATCCTTTGTAATGTCTTGTTACTTACAGTGGCTTTGCATTGGACAGTTACAACAATTATTTATTGTAATGTGCTGGAACTAGATCTATACAGTAAAATACAATGGACAATAAGAAATTACATCATGGAGATTTTCATAAACTTTTTAATGCCTTCTGTGCCCACTTAAAAAAACATATGACAAGATTTTTCAATTACATTGTTATTGCAAATTCATAACATTCAACGTTTTGATATACAGTATAACACAGTTCTTGTTGCCTTTTATAATCTTTCTGACAAACATTAATTCAGCTTGTGTGGTAGTTGGGAATGTGTCCCTAGGGTGACCTAATTGACCAGAATGAAAACACCAATAAACTGGATTCCTTCCTGGCTAATCTGTTATTTGATTTGAATCTTAAGGGAAAAAGCCATGTTCCAGCAAAAAATCATTTCACTTTATTCCGCTTTTGTGACTATTTATTTCACTTTATTTTATAGGCCATTCTTTCATTAACAAAACAAATTGTAATATTTGACATTCATAACATAAACAGACTTTAATTTTCCATCTAAAAGTTTCAACAAAACAGCATGTTTGCAGCATTAAATTTCAGAGGTGGTTCCCACTCTCCAAACCCTGGAGAGTATTCTCAAAAATTCACTGCACAACACAGTGCCTGTAACTGGAGATTCCACTGTACTGACATACTGGGTCTGTGTCTAGTCTTCTCATTCAATAAAATTCCAGCTTTCATTCGCCACCCACTGAATTAGGAGTTGTGGAATCAAAATAAATGTAATGCAGTTCCAAATAACAATACTCTATTTATGTACATGTGAAATAAAGTATTGTGTGAATAGATGCTTATGTACAGTATGTATAGATTATTTTGTGTGGTGGTTTGAATCATCTAGATGCAATGAAAGATTGAGTGGACTACTAAACTAATGGAAGCAGTAGAAAATATTCCTAAAGGTAATTAAAGGAAGGATATAAAAATGGAAAAAAAAACAAACTGATGGATACAAATCAGTGATTACACACTAAGGATTTTGTTCTGATCATGTTCCTGGTAAGCTTGAGGAGAACATACATGAATGGCGTGGTAGAGCAGCGCCTTTGAGCTCCACTTGTCAGAGTAATCATCTCTGTGCTCCTGCATGGCCTGATCCTGTGTCCAGTGGCAGTATCAGGGGACTGTTATTCTTGGCTCTGATTGGCTTTCGCCTTGGCAGAAGATGTCATGAGGTCCCACCTCTCCCGTGCCATTGTGTGCTGTCTGCGATTGTCTCACCCTGCCTCTGACCTACTTCTCATCTTGTGGCAGGCCCGACTAGCAACAGGACATCTCTGAGGCCCAGATTTATTGCCCAATTTGTTAGCTGTTGACTGAAGAGCAGCGTGTTTAATGCAGTGATCAGCTCCTTAAATTAGAACCAGAGTGGAGGAGTGGAGAAAATGAGCTGCAATTGGAAAGGTACTATGTACTGCAATAAAAATGGTAAAACCCTCAGAGATGTCCTTCACAGCTCCTTGGATGTCATATTAGAGATTATTAAAGACTGGACCTGCTTTTGCAGGGCCTTATGGAATATTATAAGCCCACTCTTTTGTAGCCGAACAAAACTCGAATTATGTAATCTTGTACCTGTCACTTCCATTCAATAGAATTTGAACTACCTTTCACTTTTTACTTTACTGTTACACAATGTAGATGTTTTATACAGCATTACCTTCAGCATTTGATCCCACCAACATTTTGCACTAAGTGAATAAAAATGACAGCATGCACAGCCCATTTGGACTAGCATAGCATCTGGATGCTTTAGATAGCTTTCCAAATACAATCTTAGGCTTGATGAGTGGCTAGTGTTTGAAGATAAGCAGGAGACCCGCCAACATATCATGCCAATTATAACAACCTCATCTAGTCTGACAACCTACCATTTATCCACATTGATCAATGACTGAAGATGCTGACAACAGCAAAGTAAGGTATGTCTAAACCACTGCCCATTGTGTGGAAGAGGTAATCTGTATTAAGTGTCAAGTATATTAATAAAATGAAAACAGTGCCATTGTGTCTGAGAGCTGTCTAACTGTCATTTGTCCTGATGTAGTTTGGATCGCTTGTAGGATCCCATGCATTACAAAGATGTTAAGCCATTGTACATTTCATCCAGAGTTGATTTTGCTGCACTTCTTAGAAGTGCAGTTCTCCATAGCTATAATTATTGTACCGCTTTTTAAGGTCACCATCTACTCTTGCCTCCTGAGCTGTCCATCTGTTAGAATATACTGGATTTCACATGATAGATTCTAGAAAACATCACATGCCAAAGAGCATGGATATATTAGTAAGGTGTTGTGTCTAAATCTATTTTGCAATATCTGAAGAACATTGGGATTTTTTAACTTAATATGCCCAGCAGAATAAATGCATAGCTTCCACAATTTGGTATAGAGATCTGAAGTGTTCCACATGTGGAAACTGTATCTAGACAGAATATAATTTAAGTGATTAATAATTGACTATGATGATTTCAGTTGTGATCTCATAACTATCAAAAATGTATTCAAAATTACGAAAGTCACTTGTTTCTTAAGGTATAAGTAGCAAATTCTAAGCACGTGGAAGTACTTGGTGGACATACTGTACAAAGTGACTTTTAATGCAAAAGGAAAAAAACAGTAAGCTTCAGTTTCCAAACGTGAATCTAAACAATATTACTTTTTTGTGTATAAACTGAATTGTCTGTGTTAACAATAAAGTATATTTAGCATACAGAAAACTATTCTAAGAATCCAAATTAATATTATTAGAATTATCCCATCTCATAATTGAGGTTTGCCAAATAACAGGTGCACCTATAATTACAAAACTAGGAGGCGGCCAAATGAGCACATATTTCTGGACGGAGTCATGAGTTTCAGTCACATTGCCATGAGTAATCGAGCTGTTTGCAAAAATATAATTAATTCTGTACTCTTAGCTTGTACACCATGCCTAAGAGCAGTACAGCTTTTGCAGTCTTTCTGAATCAATGATCCTTAAATCCAAATTTAAAATACCACTTACATGTACGTGAGAAAATATAATCATTACCTATGTATACCTATTATATATAGAATGATAACTACAAATTACTCAGTTGCTGGATTGGACACCTGACAAAGGCTATAAGTTATGTTTTTTTTATACTTTTCAGCATGGAATTAACAAGTAACTCTTTACTCGGCATCAGTACATTACTACCCCTCGTCTTTAAATTGCAAGTTGAGATGAAAGTGCAAATGTGCGAATAAATAATATTATGCTACTTTTCTTGTAATCAGTTATAACACCTACTTTACTTATATGGTGCTTTACTCTTCTTACAACAAAGACAACCTAATGCTCCCAAAGCAGAGGAGGTCATTACAAGTCGATACTACTATAATTATGTTCTGTACACCATCGCAATGCTCTTTAGGTCACATTGGGCATCTCTGTAAAATTCTTCCCAGATTGTTCACTGTGAAACTAGACAGCTTCCAAGTCGCTTTAATGATACGCGCTTCCCAAGTCAGAACTCATATATTCCATTTAGCAACAATATTACCAAACAAACATGCCGTTACTGCTACATTGTTTCCTGCGTGTGTAAGAAGTAACCATAGCTGTACTAAGTGAACACAGCGACACAAAGAGCCGCCCAGCCATGAGCAGCATATTACAGCACAGTGATACTCTGTCTTCCCTATAGACTCGCTGTCTCATCCACCAATTTTTTTTTTTTAATCTTCACGTTACACGGCTCTTTTTAACTCCCCCATTTTCGCTTTTCCACGTTTCCAAGTGGCTGCCAACAGGCCGCTCCGTCCGGCAATTGGTTCCCTGCCGTGCTCGTTATGGGGTGACGCAGGCTGCGGTCCTTCCCTATCCGTCCCCCTCATCGGAAGCGGAGGCCCCGGCCCCGAACTGCATTGGAGCTTCGCGTTGCCATTCAATCCCCGCCTGCGCCTCGGCTGGCAGCCCCCCTCAATTATTTTCTCTGCTGCTCTTGGCGACCATCATACTGGCTGTCAGGAAGAGGCAAGAGGGAGAAAGGGAAGCGGTTACCGAGAAGGGGAGGAGGGAGGGGGGGTACGGCAGAAAGATTTTTTTTCCCCCCATATTTTTTATTTTTATATTCACACGTTTATGGAGCTAGAGGAATGCGATGTGATAGCTGGTCCCACCGCGTGTTACCCTCTGAACCGCACCGCCAGAGGGATATGAGCTCTGGTTCTTTAGCTTGCTGTTTTTTGCAGACAAAAGAGAGCAGCTGAAAAAAGGTAGGTTGAAGAAAAAATCCCTATTTTGAAAGCTTTTGGAAGTGTTGAGTTGGGGGTGTAGTTGACACTTCTCATTCCTCGTAATAAAAGGCTGGTTAAGGGGGTATAAATGAATACATCGACGGCATATATTACAATAACTACAATTGTAATTTCTGTATGCATTCAAGGTTTTTTTTTGCCCGAAAGCGTGTTAAGAGATTCCTGCGCAGAATGTGATTGGCAAAGAGACTTCTCATAGATTTCGTACAGGAATAAAAAAAAATAGGCCGCTAATTTTACTTTGCCATTTGGGTATGATGTTGGCAGCCCCTGTCTGTGATTACTGATTGTTTCTGCAGACTATACTGTACAAGCTACAAACGTAGATTCTAATGGCAAATACGAAGTTTCTTTTCAAAAGATCAGGTAAGCTTCATCTGTTGGTATCTGCTTTTCACAGACGATCACTGACACACAGTAGCGCATAGCTGTGTTAAATTTCATCAGCTGGTATTTATGACGATTAAGTACAAATTCGTGAATTCCATCCATGTTCAATGGTGCTCACTAGCTTCTGATTATCTGTACTGCACATGGCATTTCTTGTTCATGATACTTGTAATAAACGAGAATAAAAACCTGACCTCCATCTCCCCCAGATAAGATGGTATTAAACAGGGTTGTTTAAATTTGCTTTTACAAGTAAAAAATACTCTCGGATAATCAAGTGTAAACTTGTTAAGATTACAGGCCGGCATACATGTGTGACGTCGACTCTGTTACGCTATTTAAGAAATACAGGCTTTAATTTCTGAATGTCAAGGAGCACAACTGTTCAGTATGCAGGGTGACTGTTGCACTACTGTTCTGGGAACGCATTGTAATAGTCTTGAGGTGTGACAGATGGCAACTGATGTCTTCTTTTCTTCTTTTAGCGTCTCCCTTATGAGGTAATTGAGTTCTAAATGTGGTTAAAGCCTTCTCATAGTATTAACATTGGGAGTTCCACCAGGATCTGCTAAAGTCGCAGCAACTTTAAATCGAGAATCGGATCTCTGTGGCTCCCAGCCATTCTTGCATAATTACCAAAAGTGAGCCACCATAGATAGTGCATCTACTGTTATCTGGACTGAGCAAAAAAACATTTTGGTTTCTAGCCTCCCTTTGCAGTGAGTAATAACTTCAGAGACCTTCAGATAGTGGGGATATGTGTTACCAGAGGTTTCATTCACTATATGAAATTGGATTCGGTTAATTTAATTGTAAAGATATTCTGTAATTCTGATGTTGCAGTACACTTCTGTAATTGCTACCACATGGGATTTGTAAAGAGGGACTTTAGTGACTGAGAGTTATGTCTGGCTAGAAATAAGGCCATAGCAATTTAAAAGGTAAAGGCATCTTTCAAGTGTCAAGAAGATCACCAGTTCGTTTTTCAGATTACAGGGGTTCGATTCCTCTGAAGCTGTAAGATTTGAGTTAAGTTTATGAACATTTTAATAGCATTAGAAATCAACCGTCTTTGTGTATGTTTGTGTTAAATATCCAGTGCATTAGAGATGCCACCTGTACACTCTTTTTGGGTCAAAATAGAGTAGAAAAACAATAAATTAACTATTTTAAGTACAAATTATTTGCACCAAAAGATAACATAATAAGTGTGTCGAAACTGTAAGGTTATGGATAGGTCATAAATGAAAATGAATGCAATAAGAATTTTCAATTGTATTATTCCATCTATATTCACAGTAAAACTCTTCCATGGCCACAGTTTTGGCTAGAGGTAAAGAGGTTTCTCTTGGACAAAATCAGCATAATTATAGCAACCCATTCTGTTTTGCAATGCACAGTCTGTTCCTTCGGTGCCTTTTTATCAAGTTGTAACACTGCATAATGAGAATTGTATTAAAAGGCACTTCCATATTTTTTTGTCGATCTTTTTTTAAAGTATTTTTTTTACGTCAGGCATCTAGTTGACCAGTTTAATGTATAATTTTTGGGACTTCTTGTTAAACCATTGTCAGCTACAATTGAAAATATAAAGATTTAAAAACGTCCTTAATCTTAAATTTGTATTCTGTGTTCACTTTGCAAACTCACTTTCTGTCAGTAATTTCTGTGGAATCACAAAGCTGCTGTAAAGTCCGGCACATCACTGATGTTTTGAAGTGCCGTGACTATAACCACTCATAATGTGTCGTTTTTAATGTTTAGGACAATAAAGTTGGCATTATAATTCCCTGAGATTTTGTCCTACAGAATTCCGTCATTTCTGAGGTCACACTGGAGTCAAGGTTAGCTGTCTTACTGAGTACTAGCTGTGCTTTTCCACACTGACCTGTCCAGACCACAGGATGGATGTTAAGTGTTGTTCCCTCACTGGAACAACTTTGGGTACTGGATTCGATTCTTGTCTAGGGGTGCCTTCTGTTTCAAGTTTGCACAATAGGTTTTGCTAGGTGGGTGTTTTGCTGGGTGACCTCCCATAGTCCCAAAAACATGCTGTCTAGGTTGATTTGCATCTCTAAGGTCTCCTTGTAATGTGTGTAAGTGCATAATTACATGTGTGTCCTGTGATGTGCTGGCGTCCTGTACAGGGTGTTTCTGCCTTGTGGCTATTGTCTGCTGGATTAGGCTCCTACTCACTGCATCCCTGTGTTGGACTAAGTGGTTATTGAAAATGGATGAATGGGAGAATACTGGAGATATTTGATAACTCAACTGGGATTTTTATTATTATTATTATTATTATAAGAGTCTAATCTTATAGTTGGAAAGAGAGTTAGAAATCTTATACTCCGTCTCAATCTTCAACAGATTCAATGGAGTTTGAATTACATTTCCTTAACCAAAAAAAGTTAAACCTCACAAAGGCTTGGAATATGTTTTTGGGGGGGAAGGGGTGAAGACTTCACAAAGAAGATTTCTTGCTCAATCTCCTGTTTCTCTTAACTGTGAAAAGTCATTGGCTACAACCACAGCTCTTTGAAAGCAGTTAGACTTACAATTTATTTGCAGTTGCTTCACGGGCATGAACATTTTTTTTTCTTCAATAGATTAGTGTGGTCTTTCATATATAGACTGCTATCTCTGAAACATATGTATTGTAGGATTGTAAAGGGTATTTCAACCCCCAGATAGTTATTATAATTGGAAAGGAGGGCAGCTTCAATTCCCAGGGGCACATATGCCCATGACATGACGCACTGCGGTAGTTCCATCTCTTCTTTTAAATAATTAGGATGCTTAAGGCTAGAATTAAAATGGTGAATTTGCATATTTAAAATTTGTCACAGTGTTGTGCTGCCACAAATTAAAACCAAGTAATTTTGAGTAGGAACTTATAGTGAATATTTTTCTGGATTGTAGAAATGTTTTATTGTCTCTCTCAGGAAGATATATCAGGGTTCTGGGTGTCCCAGGAATCTCACTGAACAGCCTTTAACCCACGTTTTCTCCTAACTTTCTTTGAATGCTAATCATGCTTTTTTATACTCAGCATCAGAAGAAACCTAGCACTTTGCTTATTATGGTTGTATGTTGTTTTTTTTAAAATGCACACAGAGTTTGGACATTGATTAAATTTTTTTGGTGCCATTTTGACTAATCAGAATGACCATTTGATCATTCATGACTGATTGTGTTATACTTGAGGGCCTTTGATTGTTGTTTGTTGTCACCTTTGTAGTGAAACTGTTGATTGGACACAAGTGATGAGGTCTTTTATTTCAAAATAAGTCAGAATGCAGAACTTTATGCAGTCTCTCCTCAACTTGGTTATATTTGTTTCAGATTAGAGCTATTAATATATGATCAATGTAAGATGAACATAGTGGGTTAATACCAATTCTAAATCCTATTAAACTTTCTAAGAGCCACAATTTTTACTGCTGTGGAAATTAATAATAGACCTTACACTTCCCTACAAATAAACTCTGTCAAGATATTTAAAATTGATTTAAAACTTTAGGTTTCCTCCTTGTGAGATGACATTTTTCTTCTACTTCTACTTTCTCTTACAACCTAATTTTGCTGCACTGTCCACACAAGGAAAAATGTGCAAAGAGATATTTGATAAAAATGTATTCTGCACAGTTTCCGCCTGAGCTGCACAAAGTAAAGGAAGTGTAGACGTTACGTAATTTAGAAACCACATACAGCACCACGTGCTATGGTCACTGAATTATCAGAGAAAAGTGGAAGGCACATAGTTACAGTGTGCACAGGGCATTTAATTCCTTTAAGGTGGAATCTCTGTGGTACCAAGTGCTGAATACCAATTCAATCAACCAGTGTGAAAAGCAATGGTCTAATGGAAGAGCTGGCTGTGTGAGATGGGTCCTGAGTGCAGGAGTTTGTTTGTGTAAACTGCAAACTAGTAATCAGCACAATTGGCTGTGTGACTCAAGTAAGGGGGCTCAGATGATGTTTTTGGGCCTTTCTACACCCAACCAGGGCTTTTTTTGCTTTTGTGGCTCTTTGTATTTTTATTACACTCCTTGGAAGTTTGTTTATGTGCCTTAAAAGCTGGAGAGGCATTGATGGCAAAGCATGAATGTGGAAATAATGAGAAATAATGGCTGTCCAAAACAAGCATGTGCACTGACCCTCACAGGTAAGGCTTGTGTGCCACATGGCGGCTTTATCTGATCCTGGCCAGAATGAGAAACGCCAAAGAGGACAAGGCAGAACTCTAAGAAGGGGAGGGGGACTTCACATGGCTACTCTGAGGCTATACAGTCTTTTCAGCCCAGACAGGTCTTGGACCCAAGGGTATATCAGGTGGGATCTGGTGGTCTGATAAAGTCAGAGGACTGTGATGCACAAGCTTGTCCTGAAGGACTCCTAGCTTCTTGGACTGTGCTGCAGTTCTTCATATTCTGATGGATCTGTAAGTGATTAGTGAGAAGCAAGACCAAGAGGAACAAAATTAATAAGGCTACACTGCTGTTCTGAAGTTCTGCATTACAGTATATCCTTCCTACAAGAGGAACATGCTGTGGTTATATTGATAGATC